AATGCGGGGCACGTTGTGGGGGGCAGCATGTCAAACCACCCCAAAGCTGCAAAAGATGTATCCCCTACTTGGGATCCCTGCCCCCTTCCCAAAGCAGTCGCGGAGAGCAGGCCGGGCTGCACCCAATGGCTGAGATGAGCAGGCAGGTGCCCGTGCCCGCAGCTGGCTCCCTGGAGCTTGGCAGCGCGGAGCGGGGCCAGGAGCAGCCTGATGGCACAGAAAAGGGAGAAGCCCTGGTCAGCCACACACTGCAGACACCATCTCAAATTCCCCAGACAGCGCTTTTTGGCACCTGTGCCTTCCTGCCACAGGCTGGAAACAAAGGGAAGGGTGTTTTGGAGCTTTACTTGATTTCACCACCGTAATGCCCTCCCTTCGCTGGAACAATAACCGCCGCGGGACGCCAGATCTTTGCTCTGCTCTGCAACCAAAGCTGGAATTGCACACTCGATCCCAGGGCCTGCCAGGGTCTTCAGTGTTGCAACCCTGGGCCTTGCTCCTCCATGGAGAGTTTGGGCTTCCCTGCAGCAGCCCCCGCGTCAGGGGAACGGGGTGACAAAGCAGGGTTAGCTGTGGGGATGCACCACGGCCCTGGGACCTGTCCTGTTCCTCGTTCTCCACCTCTGCTGCGGTCCAGGTGAACCACAGGAGAAGATTTCCAAAGACAGAGCTCACAAATGTGTAAGTCTTAAGCCGAGTGAACCCATTCCACATTACTGATGACATGTTGGAGGTGCATCACTTGAACCATGGTGGTAGGGAAAAATGGTGCCACCAAGAGCCCTGCTACCAGCTACGCAGGTCTAAAAATTGTTTGGGTTTTTTTTTACCTGAATAATTGCTTAGTTTGCTGTTGCCATTTTTTCCACAGCACCTCTAACAACAGGAGATAAACTAGGGCAACCCTAAGCGGGACCCAGACTGCCTGATCCTCTGCTCACAAGGCTCACAGTTTTATTTTTAAACCATCTTTCTGGAGTCTGTATCTCACAGTCCCGTTAACAACAAAAATCTGCTTTTCAACAACGGGGCACCTCTCGTGACGGGGAAAAAGGGGTTGTCACTAATACTAACACAGCCCACAGAGGGTCTGGAAATTGAGATTATTTTTTTTCCTTCGGAAAAACAGTCTGTCCTGCTTATAGAGGAAATGGAGGTCTCACTTCTCCAGGCTGTGGAAGCGACCCGTGGGTCACTTACACCACTGCAGTGACAGGGACAGGAAACAAAACGGAGGCTCCACGTGTGTCCCCATCGTTGCACTGACACTTGGCTATGGCTTATCTCCACGTTGTCACCTTAAGCAGGTGACATGGCTGGTGGCACCCCCAGCCCAGGCTGTGCCATGCAATCTGGAGGAGAGACAGGGACTGACAGACATGGCTCACCTCGGAGATTATCTCCTGGGTCAAGTTTCCGCTGTAGAAAGCTGACGGCCCTTCTGCCCCCACCAGCTCCAGGACGGCCGCGAGGTCCAGGCGCCTGACGAACATGCCAGGCAGCAAGGGCTGGCTGTCTGGCAGGAAGATCTCCCGAAATTTGTCAGAGTAGTTCAGGTCCTTCAGTTCACTTACGGCTTTGGCTGCGGGCGAGAAGGAGAAGGACATGGAGAAAAGCCTGGGTGCAGGACCGTGCAGGGGACCTGGAGTCACTGGGTGCCTGACGGGGATGTTGGAGATTTGCTGCTGCCTCTTGCCTTATTGCAAAACTAGAGAGAGGCTGGATCATGCATCCGTTAGAGCTGGGAAGGAAACCTAAAAAAACCCCAGTGCTCTTCCCTGGCTAGCCCTGGGCAGCTGCCCAGCGTGGGCTTCTCTGACCCGTCCCTGACCAGCCCTGGGAAAGGGCTCCAGTTTTGCTGCCACCACGCTCTCCCCTCGCAGACTGAGGCTCATGCATTGCCCAGCTCCCAATACCACCCATCTCCAGGTCCAAAGAGCCTTAATTTCCCCCAAATAACCATCTCCATCCCCAGCTGCCTCACAGCCGAGCAGTGGCCAGTGTGCTGCTCCGTGCTGAGCAGCCCCCCTGGCCTCCCCATCAGGTACTCACCCAAATCGTGGGTGACGTTAAACCCAGCCCGGGCGACACCGGCCGCGAGGCCCAGCAGCTGGGACCACGGGAGTCTGCGAAGGAGAAAGGACAAGGAGAAACGTGCCTTGGAGGGGTGCAGCAGGGCAGGGTGGTGGGGAGCAAGCGAAGGGCTCCGCTCCGCGGTCAGGGGGCTCCTGAAAGACCAGGCTGTGGGGCCAGTGGCGGCCAAAAGGAGCACTGAGCTTCCAGTGGGTTGTTTCTTTTTAGCAGGATGATCTCAATGCTCTACAACGTGCACCAGAGAGGAATGTCAGTGCAAGGACAGGGGAAGGGGCATCTCTGGAGCAAAATCTCAAGCCAGGCTCCAGCCCTGAGTAAGGCATTCAGATCCCTCCCTCCCTGTCCCAACTGGGCATCAAGGGCAGCCACGCTTCTTAGGGTCCAGCTAAAGCGAGAATGAAAATCCACAGACATGCACGGAAATGTTCTGTGCCTATTTCTAAGAGAACATTTCTTGTTCATCTTGTTGGCCAAAATTTCGTGACCGAGCTGAGTTCTTTCTTTTGTTCAATGCAGTACCAAAAAACGAACACATATTTCGACACGAGTCTCCAAGTACCCCTTAGCTAATGGTTTTGACTGGTGGCTGAGAACGTGGTCTGACGGTGAGGGCTCATGTGCTCCCCCAGGACCCCCGTGGGGACCCCAGGGCACAGCCTGTGCAGCACGAGGACAGCCCGCCCGTGCCAGCCTCACGTCTTACCTCCCATGCAACTGGTGTGCCTGGTGCATTCCTTGTATCGTGCCTGGCACCCCCACGAGCAAACCTGGCTGTAAAACAGGAAGGACAAAAAGGAAGAGTAGTCTCTTTCCCATGAGGATATGGGACACGGTCCCCAGTTGCAAGTCAAGGAGATGCAAGTCATGTTCACATGGGAAGTGTCTGCATGGTCTTTAGGAGAGGGGAAGAAGTCTGTAGCAACACATTAAATTAGGGAATAAAAGTTTTTGGAAGGAAAGAGGCAAATTCAATCCTGGTCTCAACCCAGTTTGGTCAGGACTAAACTCAGCAGAACGACACAGGATCGTGCTCCTTCCTGGGCCTCTTGTTCTCCTGGCTCCCCACTGCTGGAGGGACATCCCTCTTTACTCCCTGGGCCCTGCAGCTACCAGATGTTTTGGGGCTGCCACAGAAGTATTTTCCCTAGACTTCCCACGTCTGTAGGGCCCGGGATCTCCCATGGTGGGAGAGACCTCCTGTTGCTTCCCCGGGCTTCTGCCCCTCGGCCCGAGACTTGTGGGGAGAGGAGAGCTGGAGACATCAGCCAGCTACAGCCCGGGAGGGGTTGGCATGGGACACCAGTCCTCACCTTGGTGTCCTTCTGCAGGTCCTCCTCCAGTGGGATGCCCAGGGGAGCCACCTCGCCGAAGTCGATCACCCAGCTCCTGTTCTTCCGGATGTCGTGGACCAGCATCACCCCACCCCTGCAGCGAGACGGGGGTCACAGCACGGCACCGGCTGTCCCTGCAACAGCCGCTGCCCTACAGCCAAAACGGAGAGCGCGGGTGCCACTGGGGCTGGGACCAGTCCCGGCATGAGGGGGCCACTGTAGCTGGTCACCAGCCTCAGCAGTGACCCAGAGCAGTTCAGGACAAGGACGCAGGCAGCCCTTGTGCTGAGCCTGCAGCGAGGCTGGATCACCCCTGCCAGCCTGGCCAGAGGGCCACTGGCTCTACTTCACTGCCAGGCTGGGACTATCTGGGATTTTCTTTCTAATCCGAGCAGTTTTGCAACAAAACAGGGTTTTTTCTTACAACAGCAATCCGTGGCACAGCCTGCAGAAGCTATCAGGTGGCGGAGGTTTATGCAACGCTCCCAAGACCTCCTGCAGAGCCGAGAGTGCCCGGCTCACGTGGATGCCACCCTGGGGATGAGGGCTGGGAGGAGGGAAACAATCTCCAAAAGCTTTGGGACTGAGCCCAGGGTGCTGTGAGCTCCTGGCATGCTTACAGAGGGGCTGGGCAGCCTGTGGTCACTTTTTCAACCCTCTCGAGCCTGAGACTTGTACCTTCCTGGCAGCCACTATGGCAGAAGCAGCTTGTCCCTCCTTGGGGTTCTCCGCCCCTCACTGTCAGCTTGGTGCAGAGGAAGAGTCCTCGTCCCTGTGCAGACGCGGACACGTCCACTGCTTGATGTCAGAGACCCAGTACCACACTCTGGGACTCAGGCTGCCATGAAACCACGTCTCAGCTGGTGGGGAAACCACCCGCTTGAGGACAACTGCAGATGACAGCCCAGGGGTGAGCGACCAACACTCACCCGCCGATGCCCGACGTGTGGGGGTTGACGATTCCCGCGCAGAGGGCCGAGGCGATGGCCGCGTCTACCGAGGAGCCCTGCTTGTTGAGCACCTCTATGCCCAGCGCCGTGCAGCGGGCAGCGTCCGTGACCACGGCGCCGCGGTGAAAGATCTGCCGGAAGAAGAGAGCAGTTGTGCCCAGGGTGGGGTGCTGGAGCCACCCAGATCTTCGCCCAGCTCCATGGGACCTGAAGCCTGAGGCCAGCGCCAAGGCTGTGGCCAATTTGCATTTTCAGGTGCTTCCAAATGCTGGTGGGAGAGGTATGGCCCTTGGCATGTCCCTGCACCAGGGCAGCTGTGGCTGCTCTGCATGTAGCTGCGGCCATCAGCTCTGCTGGCTGTCAACAGTAGACATGCTAAGCTGGTGGGCCACGTCTCACCCTGTCCTCCACAAACCCAGAGTAGGGTCAGACTAATCCTCAAGAGCGATGGGTGATGGTGTGCTGTCACCACGCTGCCGCAATGCGGTCACTGGAAATGGGAATACAGCTGCAAAGAATGCAGCATCCCCCCAGTACCACGGCTTGTGTCACAGAATCATGGAATAGTTTGAGTTGGAAGGGACCTCAAAGATCATCCAGTTCCAACCCCCTTGCCATGGGCAGGGATACCTCTACACCAGGTTGCCCAAAGCCCCATCCAACCTGGCCTTGAACACTGCCAGGCAGCCACAGCTTCTCTGGGCAACCTGTGCCAGTGCCTCACCACCCTCACAGTGAATATTTTCTTTCTTATATCCAATCGAAATCTCCCCTCTTTCAGGTTAAAGCCATTGTCCCTTGTCCTGCCACTACACGCCCTTGTCCAAAGTCCCTCTCCAGCTTTCTTGTAGCCCCTTTAGGTACTGGAAGGCACCAGCACCAGTGCCAGCGCAGTCACAGGAAGTTTTAAAAGGTTCATTTTAACCCTGTGGTACAAATTGCAGCACCTCAGCATGAGCCAGGGTGGCCTTGGGAAGTGCGAAGACAGAAGGGGCACGGCAGGCTGGTGGGCAGGACTGACCCTTGTCGCGTCGCTCCGGCGCTGCGCCCCAGCCAGCCGCGGGGCCGAGCCGCTCCGCTCCCAACGGCAGCGATTTGCACGCCAGTGAGAGAGCAATATATTTAAAAAAAGCAAATCTCTTTCACATGGGCTTGCAGGCAGCTCTGTCCTGCTGGGCAGCATCTCGAGAAGATGACGATGACTACCGGCTGCCCCTCGGTCCTGCTCAGGCTGCAGCACTTGGCAGGAGATGTTCTGCAGGAAGGTATGACCCCACGGCCATGCTGCCTTTGCTCTGCAATTTCACACTGGTCTGTGGGACAGAGGAGCAGGAGGCTCAGCTCTGTTTTCAGCTACTCCCCTGCTTGGTCCTGGATGGATCCTTCCAGAGGTGAGCCTGGGCATACAGATCCATAAAACTCTCTCCAAGTGGAGATGTACAAAAGATGCCTACTGCTTAAGGAAGGATTGCTCTCTGAAAGCATTCACCCCTGGCTCAAACCACACCTGGAGACACAGCAGCGGGGCTGCCCGTCTCCCCCTGGCAGCACCCCCAAACCCACCAGGCACAGCAACCCATGCCTCCGCCACGGGGCGGGCACCAAGAGCCCAGCTCACCTCTCCGAGCACAACCCTCAGCCACAGGAAAATGCTTTCGAGACAAATTTGGGGTGGAATCACAGAGAGAGACTCAGCACCC